CATGAAAGGGCACAGTGGTACTGGCATAGCCTTATCACTACGTCAATGGAGGCTGCAGCGTGTAGGGATGGTGTGATCTTGGCTAGAGAGTTGAATTGTTGTCAGCTGCAAGTCAAAACTGATAGCCAAGAGCTAGTGAAGCTTTGGGAGATGGGTGAGCTTCAGAGGTCTTGCATATCGCCTATCATTAGGGAGATAAGGGCACTTAGTACTTCTTTTGCTGATTTCTCGTTGATGTATGCTAATAGAATCTATGAAAGGACTGAGGATGCCGCCTAAAGGGGGAGTGAATAGGCATCTCTAAAAATTCAACCCTTTAAAATACAAAAATGATTAGTATTGGAAACTCTAAATCAAAGAAATAAGGCCCTCACGTGTTAGACAATAGCCAATACAAGGTATATAGAATAAGTATAGAAGGTACAACCCTACAACAAACAAGTTAGAACCGAGAATGAATAAAAACAGCACAAGCCCCAAATACAGGACACGCCCGGTATTGATACCGGACACGTCCGGTATTCACAGGTTGGATGGATTAGCTCCCAATTTGCTCCGATTGACTTCTCTTTTCAAACCACGTTGCTGGCACCTTCTAGTGACCTATCAACAAGCTCAAGCAACACAAGTAGATCACAAATGCCAAGTGAAAAGAGACATTGAGACACAAGAATTGTTTTACCGAAGTTCGGCCTCTGTCGAGACCTACTCTCCATTGAGGGGGCTGCGAGTGACCCAACAAAGGTCAGCTCTAGAGGACCACAAAGGCCACTCTAGCCGAAGTCTTTTCCAACTTCTTTTCCTCCTTCCACTAGTTGATTCCTTCCCTTGTGGCGGTGGAATCAAACCGTTACAAACTTCCCGAGGCACACCACAAGCTCTTGGGTGCTCTCCGGCGATGCCTAGCCGTCTAGGACCGAAAAGTCCAAGAATAACAAATGCAAATCATGAGATCGACAAGTATGCACAAGTGCTCAAGGGTGGCTTGCTCTCAATTTTGAATCTCACTCAACCCACAAGATGGATTTTGCAAGTTTGAATCAATCACTCACTAAGAGAGGGTTGGAGAGTGTTCTCAAGGCTCAAAAACGTGTGAGAATGTCAACAGAATCAATAGCCTCGAAAGGTGGAGACTAAGGGGTATTTATAGCCCCTTTGAAAAACTAGCCATTATGTAGCCGTTGGCGAATACCGGACATGTCCGGTATCAATATCGGACAGGCCACACAGCTCCAACGGTCATAATATCAGTAAAACTGAGAGGCATCAGAACTCCCGACGATTGCCGAGACTTCCGACACCCAGAGCTCCTAACTCTAGTCGGACCTCTCGACGAGCCAAACCGAGAACACCAAGAAGGTTACTGTGGCTGGGCAAATACCGGACACATCTGAGGGATGCTTGCATCCACAATACGCTGAACAAGAGGACTAATAGCTCTAAAACCATTGAGTAAATGAATTTACCAAGATAAAAAAATTTGAACCATTATTTTAGAGAAGCACCAGCTCCGACTCATTAGGCGTCGACATCCTTTTCTCACGGTGGTGAGCTTTTAGTGAGTCCTTGCTTTGATACCAATTGAAAGGACCGAGGATGCCGATTAGAGGGGGTAAATAGACATTTCAAAAAATTCAACCCTTTAAAATACATAAATGATTAGTGTTGGAGTTTCTAATTACTTGGAAACTCTAAATCAGAGAAATAATCCCCTCACGAGTTAGACAACAGATAATACAAGGTATATAGAATAAGTCTAGAAGGTACAACCCTACAAGCAAACACAAGTTAGCTCTTTTGTCTCTCTTTAACTCAAACCTCACATGGGTTGGCTTGAGCACTTATGGATAATCATCTATCAACATGATGCATCCCTCTTAATAGTATGGCATACCTATTTACTCAAGTTTAAATGAAAATGGAATCGAAGCGCTTGAGTTGAAATCCTTTGAACCGAATGCCATAACTTTGAAACTTCGTCGAGTGAGGATGTCAATCATGTCACCTATGATTTTCTCCTTGAGCATAGGCATCTTGAGCATATGACTTGGTTGCATTCAATAAATGTGAGTTGACTCCAAATGTATCAAGTCACTTTCCACTAATACATTTAAGATTTGATTCTCCACTTCAATGTGTACGTCATGATTTGATTGGTATCAACTAAATGCAAGTACTTTCTTCTTCACTCTAGCTAGGTTCCTCGGTCGTCAAGCCGTCGCTTGCCCTTCACCCTTGCTTAGTTCCTCGAAGCCTTTCCTTGTTATTTGCACCATCTCAGGCCATCACGTCACACTTGGTGTTGAATCATCCATTTAGACCATTTGTGTAGATATCTTTCAATGTAGCAAACTTTACAATGTGAGACCATTTCATATGCAATCCCTTATGTCTCATTAATAAGTTCTTCAACGTGCTTGCTTTCATATAAGCCATAGAAATCCCACAATGAGTAAGTCTTGCATGAATTATATTTACATTGTTGTCTTGTGTTTGAACTAGATTGTTTACAACAACACATTATTTTGGCTTTCATTAAATACCTGTGAGATTTCTATTTCCTGTCCACACTTAGCAAACGAGTTAGACCTTTAATCATGTTGTCATTCAACCATCTAAAATCCATTAAAGGGCTTAATGCACTTTTAATCTGTAACCGTGTAACTCACACCCTTGCAAAGCAAGTCTCAGATGGCAACAGGATGGATGAGTGGCAGTTAGCCCCAACCTGTATTGCCAATCTGCTGACTGAAGATTGTAATCATGTTGATCCTGATTAATGGAAGCATTAAGTCACAAAAAAGGGTCTAATTTAGTGATATCCGTAAGCGCCTTTTTTCTGCAACACTACTTCAGCAGTCCTTTTCAACGAACGAACAGTGTTTTTCTCTCACAATAAATGAACATAAGCAGCAGCATAAGCCAAATTTCAACGAAGGGCGAACAGGGCCTGGATTCACATTTTTAACCAGTACATGCAGTAAAACAATGCAATCTGATATGGCGGCGCGTGATCGCACATGTAGTCAGTAGCCCTCGTATAAATGCACAAGCACAAAGGTTAGTATTAACCTTTTTGTTTGAGCAAAACAAAGGTTAGTATTAACTTTTTTTTTTGAGGGGAAGGTTAGTATTAACTGGCCGCCATCTCGCATCGCATCAGTGATTGTTTAGTGCAAAAAATTGTTACTGGACCGAATCAGGCCAGTATGTTTTGTGGCGGGGATCTAGTTGCGGGCGATGGTTTGGGCCGGATAGGTACTGGAGGGCATGATGTGAGCCTCCAAAGACATGGTTGGAGAACCTCCAACCCAGGAGAGGACCTGTCCATTTCAGTTCGAGACTAGCCAGACTAATGGACATAATGGGCCTCGTGCAAGTCCAGTTGCTGCTGGAATACGTGGTCGCACATCCCTCTCGATTCTTTTTCTTTTTCTTCAGAAAAAGAATCTATTTTATCTTATTAAGCTATTTCTACCATCGCGAAAGGGCTTGTGGTGCAGTGGTAGGGCAGTTCAGTGGGACGCTACCCACCAGAATTTGACCTTTTTTCTAAATTTTTTCCAGAGTGTGGAGTATGCGGATTATGTGCATCTAAGTTATACGAGATAAAAAAAATATTGCCACAGTCTAAATTTTCTTCTCCAACTCTAAACCCAGATATCACACCCTTGACTCTCGATTTTGTTAGGATTGTCCATATCCCAATATATCTCTATGATTTTCTTGGAATTTTTAGAAGCGTAGAGTCATTTTCCGTGCTTTATTTTTTTTAAATATTTATCAGATTTTAAACTAAAAAAAGGATAAAATCATCTTCAAAACCACTTCAGCCCAAGGAGTCAATTTAAACGTTTTTGAGAATTCAAGGTGTGTAATGTCTAGTTTTAGAGTTCAAGGAGGAAAATCATACTACGACAATAATTTAAGGAGGTAAAATATTCCCTTTGTCTAAAAAAACGCAATTCCACGAATGTTCAGGTTTAAAGCTAGAATTGTGTTTTTGTTGGGACCGAGGGAGTAGTGTTTTATTTTCCTTTTGATAGAACATTTCTTTTTTTCTTTGTACAACATTTTCCTTTTCTGTTTGAGCCAAATACTTCTGTTATTGTGATGATTAAGCTGCAAAATGCTCCGTGATGAAAACTTTCGTGGAACATATATGATGTTACAGCAGTAAAAAGAAACGTTCCATGAAGGAAAACCATGTTCCCGTTGAAGAAGAAAAAAAAAAAGAACCACGGAGACATTTTCTAGTCACACGTGCGAAATATCACATCTCCCACACATAACCAACCGAAAAGTGAACTTAGGTCGACATAAACCAAAGACTTAATCTTGATTATAGATTGAGGTTTCGATAATATTTTGATGTACTCCCTCCGTCCCAAAATAGAAGACGTTTTAGGATTCAAATTTTGTCCCAAAATACTTGACAATCTCACTTTCCAATGCGCATTTCTCTTCTTCCAGTACAGTTTTTTTTCTTTTCTCAATACATCTTTATTTCTATTTCTCTCTATCTCTTTCTTTCTTGTTTTCTATACACAACACCTTTTTTACTTTTCTTAGTCCCCGTGCCTAAACCTAAAACGTCCTTATTCTAAAAAAAAAAATCTAAAACATCATTTATTTTGGAACAGAGGGAACAGGTCAATTTGACGAAACACAAATTAATTTGGCCCGCAGCTGCACGATCGCCCATTGTCCTGGTTCATCAATTTACAAAGTTGCAGGACTGAAGAGAGTGGACTAGAGAAGCTTATTTCCTACTGTTCGCGGAAACCACAAAATGCTGTTAGCTATATTTGAACGACCGTTACTCATGCTTCTCCGTACCCAAACAAGCACACGCCCACCATACAATTATTACGAGGTCACGATGGACAATGGCGAGCATGCATGCAGCGGGGTCCTCGTCCTCCTCCGGCTTATAGCTTATAGGAGGCCGGCCAGGGGCCAGGAAACCACCTGGGGCAGCCTCGAGGTTCTCTCCGACAATGGGTCCTCTCCTCCGTGCCGCCGTGCTCTCCGTCGCGCTCCTCGCCCTCGCCGCCGTGGGCGGCGAGGCGCACAGTGCCACCGATTTCCTCAACATCTTCAAGCCGCGGAACGAGCACGACTACTTCCACAACGCGAACCAGGGGCAGGAGGAGGACGTGATGCCCCGGGCCAGCGACCAGCAGAACCTCATCACGGCGCCGGTGACCAAGAGCGGCCTCATGGAGGTGCCTCCCCGGTCCGCGCCCACCGCGGTGGCGCAGGACACGGTGGTGCTCCCCGTGGACAACGCCGCGGGGTTCCCCGGCGCGTGGTCTATCATCAGCGAGAACGCTGGCGTGTCCGCGATGCACCTGGTGATCATGCGGAGCGACAAGGCCATCATGTTCGACACGGTCACCACGGGCCCGTCGCTGCTGAGGCTGCCCAAGGGGAACTGCCGCCTCGACCTCCGGAGCAAGGAGGTCGGCGCCCAGGACTGCGCCGCGCACGCCGTCGAGTTTGATTACGCCACGGGCGGGGTCAGGGCCCTCAAGGTAGGTTGGTGCCATGGTGTGGCTTACTCTTCTTCTTCTTCTTCCTTTCCGTCGTCTCGTCGGTTTGTTGCATGGTTCCAAGGACAAAAGTCACGCACGAGCCGCGACGGCCACTGTGCGCGTGCTGCTGCACTGCATGCAGGTCTTAACGGACGTGTGGTGCTCATCGGGCGCGCTCGACGCCGAGGGCAACCTGGTGCAGACCGGCGGCTACTTCGAAGGGGAGAAGGTTGTGAGGTACCTGAGCCCATGCGGCAACTGCGACTGGAGGGAGTTCCCGGGGAGCCTGGCCGAAGGAAGATGGTGCATACCACACCTAGTTCCCTAGTGCATATCACAACAGTCATCATCAACCGATTACAGACTCACACAGTGGCGTGCATGCATGCGCAGGTACGGGACGCAGCAGATACTTCCGGACGGGCGCTCCATCGTGCTCGGTGGCCGGCGTGCGTTCAGCTACGAATTCGTTCCGGCGGAAGGCCAGTCGAACGCCCAAGCCAATAACCTCCAGATACTTCGTGACACCACCGACGACGTGGAGAACAACCTGTACCCGTTCGTCCACCTCCTTCCCGACGGGACTCTCTTCATCTTCGCCAACGACCGCTCCATCCTGTTCGACCCCAGGAACGGCCAGGTCGTCCGCGAGTTACCGGTCCTCCCGGGCGGGGGCCGGAACTACCCAGCCTCCGGCATGTCGGCGCTCCTCCCGCTCGACCTCCGCCGCGGCGACGTCCTCAGTCCCGAGGTCATCGTCTGCGGTGGTTCCCCCAAGAACGCCTTCAAGCTCGGCGAGGCCAACATTTTCAACGCCGCTCTCAAGGACTGCGCGCGCATCAACCCGTTGAAGCCCGACGCGCGGTGGGCGACCGACCAGATGCCCGTGAGCCGCACCATGGGCGACCTGCTCATCCTGCCCACCGGCGACCTGCTCATACTGAACGGCGCGGCTAAGGGCTGCTCGGGCTGGGGTTTCGGGCGGCAGCCCGTGCTGAGCCCTCTCCTGTACTCTCCGCGGCAGAAGCGGGGCTCGCGGTTCCGGGCGCTGGCACCGACGACCATCCCGCGCATGTACCACGCCACCAGCGCGGTGCTGCCCGACGCCACCGTGCTCGTGGCCGGCAGCAACACCAACTCCGCTTACAACTTCAGCGGCGTCGACTTCCAGACCGAGGTGCGCGTCGAGCGGTTCACCCCGCCGTACCTCTCCCCGGCGCTCGAGGCCAACCGGCCCATGATCGACGTGGGGACCGTCCCCGGCGACGGGATGGCGTACGGAGCCAAGTTCACGTTCCAGTTCTCCACGCCCGTGCAGGCCGTGGCCGAGGCCGACGTGAAGGTCACCATGTACGCGCCAGCGTTCACGACGCACGGGTACTCCATGAACCAGCGGCTGCTGGTGCTGTCCGTCACCGCGTTCACGGCCAACTGGCAGAGATACACGATAACGGTCGACGCTCCGGGAAAGCCTGAGCTCGCGCCGCCCGGCTACTACCTGTTGTACGTCCTGGCGAAAGGCGTGCCGAGCAAGGCCGCGTGGGTGAAGGTACACAAGTGAGAAGGCGGCTCGGAGATGAATGTCCGTCGCGTTTGGAACGACGAGAATACGTGTCCACGGGAGTAGCCCTCAACCAACGCATAGTAGGAGAACGTACGGCAGTGGCGCAGGGCTTGCCTGTGGATCAGATTTGGTTTGTTTTCTCCATGAATTTTGCATCACGTGGTAAGGTGCTCCCTAATATTTGGGGCAAAACATATGTTTAGTACAGGGATATGGATCGACTCAGATTAAGTGTCAGCGATCCAAATGTGGCATCGTCGTCCGGTTATTAGTAGTGTTAGCCTTCCAAGAACAAAAGAACAAGAAGAACAACAGGGACGGAGAAAGTATAAATGTATCTGCTGTGGTATATATACATTATTATACAATCACATTTTTTCTATGCCGACCGATCGAGACAAACGGGCCATTCTCTCCTCTAGTACATCACATATGAAATGAAAATGTGGATTCCAGTTGCATTAAGGGTTTGTTCGGTAAAGCTCAGCTTTTATTGGCTTTGGCTCGAAAAACAGCTCTATGGTTCGAGATGAATCTGTTTGAATGAATCATTTGGTAAAACAGCTTCCCTGGTGAGTAAAACGGATGAAATGATGATATTGCCCTTTTCCCCCCATTTTTCTCTTCCCCGTGCTAGCATTTCTTTCTTTCTTCTCTTCTTATCAGGATGCCCAAGCATTTATTTCTTTCCTTCTCTCCTTATCCGGACGGGCATCTCTTCTTCCTCGCCTCCACACCTCCATGCTCGGCGCCTGCGTAGCTCAGCATTCCTGCCCACGTCCTAGCGTCCGCGCCAACATCCCGGCTTGGCCCCCTCCCCATGCTGGCCTCCACGCCCGTCTCCGCCCCGGCACCGTCATCGGCCCCGTGGCCCGGCCACTCTGCCCCCACGCAGGCTCCAGCGTCGATAAGGGCGAATCTACCTGTGGCCCCATCGGGACCCACCTATGTCAGAAGAAATCGGCACAAGCTACATTTTTTTAGCTTCTACTCTCTCTCTCTCTCTCCCCCTCTTCTCTTAGCGCATTTTCCGGAGCTTGTCTCTTGAAGCAGAGCTACTGGACACCATTTGGTCGATGCGCAGGTGAAGCAGCCCGTGAAGCGGACGCGTGAAGTGCTACCAAACGGCCCCTTAATTACCCATGCACTGTAGAAGGACATGGTGTTAAACCTACAACCTTGACACAAAAGGAGGAATTCTGTTGGATTTCATATGGTAGAGTTCAATTATTGAAGATTCATGTGCTCTTCTAATCAGATGGGGCCATCTTCTCTAGGTTTGGGGATTAGAGTTTGAGAGTGGGAAGTTCCCTAGATAGAGATATGCCCAGGGATGGTTATAACTCATATTTGATGGCAAGGGCTTCTAACATTGTAATGATTAGTATGGATGAGGACATGGCCATAGCTCGAAAGTGATGGTGCGACTGGAGGATGAGGAAGTGGTGGCATGCTTCGATTGAGTCAGGATAGGTAATGAAGAGGAAACATGAAGATAAAAGGTTGTAAAGAGTAGAGGTTGGCTATACTAGAGTTGTTGTTCCCTTTGTAACGCTCCTCCCTCCCTTAAAATAAACGCCTACACCTTGCTCTTCACTACCCCTTCACGTAGAAAGTTTGGAAACATTCCCATATCACCCACTGCCTCAACACCCCTAAGCTATGAGTCCCATCCTTTGATCGCTAGAAAAATATGGCAATGATCACCACTAGTGACAATTTTTTGGTGTTGTGGTCATTATACCTCATGCAGTATTTGAAAGGAGTGTAATCAAAGAAAATTTCCAAAATGAGTTTCTAACAACACCTGAAGTGGCTGCAAAAACCGAGGGGATCAACGAGGGGAGAGCTTTCCTTTCGTGTTACTCTTGAGAAACTTGCACGCATTATGTTGTATCTTCCATATGTATGTCGGTGTATTGTTGGGTAGGGGTATGTCAGATATATGGGCTAGGGGTACCTGCACCGCCAGTATATGTGACCACCGCCAGGCTATCGGCCCAGCAGCCACCAAGGAGGAGGCCCGCGAGGGCTGACGCAATCGACCAACATGGAGATCAAGGCAAACCAAGGCAGGCCTATCTAGATGATAGCTAGGATCAATCTGTTGCGCATAGCGTGTAACAAACTAGGAACTCAATATGTTTGGCAAGAAGATCACCTTCGCAAGCTTGACTTCATCGCCGACCAATTTGGGGACCTGTGCCTCCAGGAGCCGGAACCAACCGAGGAAGGAGAACAGTCCCTCCATATCCTGACTTTTGCCACCGGACTAGAGGAGGCTATGGACATAGGACCAGACACCCTCGCAAGGTACCTCAAGCGTTACGCCCATCTTTTCATCAAGGATGGGCAAGAAGGTGAGCCAGTCCCCACTTTCCACATCAACAAAACCATGGATCTCGACTCCGCTTTAGGTCCGATACCAATACCTTGTCGTCCCGCTTCCCAATCTTCGATAAGATCGGGGCGGACGGTGACAACCCGTGGCGAGACACTCATGCAGGCTGTGGTGGAACCCACCGAACCTTCCACGGAGGGACACCAGCCACAAGAACTGATAGAGTGAGATGACGTCAATGACACCCCCGATCAGCAAGATTGGTGGGACGACGCCGACATATCCGAACTCATCGACCCAGAGGCTTTCTGTTGCTTCCTCTATAGCTACGACCAGCTACTCGAGGACTCGGATTCCAATGGCGATGATCACGAGGTCATCTCACACGCATTGGGCACTAACACCAAACCGTCGCCGGACGAGCAGCCAAAACTCGGACAGTCCTCTACGACGAAAGGGTGAAGCCTTTCCCTAGCTGGGAAAAGCAGTGGGGTAGCACGGCCGATCATTCGAGCATTGACCTTGCCTCAGGAAACTCCTGAGACCTACCCTGTGCCTACAATCCGACGGCCAACGGCAGCGAGGAAGTGGGGGCTATCGTCCCTCCTTTGTCAAGAAGGGAACCCCCATTAGGCAACAAATCATAAAATAGAAGCGTTCGAGGGAAGGACCCGTGTTACCATGGGCGCCCCCTAAGCTGAGTAAGGCCAGAAGCTCTACGAGCTGGCCTACACGCATAGCTACATGACTGCACCGGTCGTCTCGTCATGCTCTCACCCACCCAAGAGCTTGATCGTTCTTGACTCTTCAGCCATTCGGAATTGGAAACCCAAAGCCGAACAACCCTTCCATCAGCAACATGAGGCCTCATCTAGGCGAAAGAGATGATGAAGGGCTACAAGGAGGGAGGCAATGGCATAGTTCCCCTCAATTTTGAACCTAACGCCGACCTTTGCTCCCAAAGACACGATCTGGCGGCAGGAACTCATTGAGCACGGGAACGTCAGCCGATGACCATCAGTTACGTTTATTTCACCCCTGCTTTTTCACATTCTTCTCATTGCATTACATTATGTGAGAAATCTACATGTATCCATCTGATGCGAATGTATACTAACACCTCCCGAGCACCTCGAGGAAGGTATTCCTGAATCACTCGGGGTTGGCTGTATCAGAATGACCCAGTCATACAGCCTGTTCGGTTGGCTGGTTCGTTTCGTTGTTGGTTCGTGAAGAAGTACTGCTGGCTGGTTTGTGTGAGAGAAAAATATTGTTCCAGCCAAAAATTTACGATCGTTTATGACAAGCCACAGCCAAACAAACAGGCTGATAAATGTCTATAGCAGTACGATTGAAGGGTTACACTAACCTACCATTGCGATCAAAGACTGCAGGAACGGTCCGATGGACCGGACCGCACACCCACCTCTTTTTTCCTTTCACCGTATCGAAGTCTTATAGGCCTTGAAATGGTATAAGCAACTTAACAAGACCCTGGGTGAACTCCACCAAGACGTTTCGTTCTGGTCGGATAATCACCAGGTGGTTAGTCCAAAGCTTAAACCAGCATCAAAAGCTAAAGACAAAGAGAGACGAAAGACGAAAAAGTGTGAAGGTTGTGTGAAACATAAATTTGTTGTGAACGACATCGTTCTGCTCATGAACACATCAGGAGCACCACCCCAAATGTCGATTAGACACAAGGCTAAGGCTCAATGTGTCAACGGCATTACCCACAATTGAGTTTGGGCCAGCCCTGACTCAATCTTTGCCATGAGTCAAAGCTCTAGGAAGCCATTCCCTCAGAACAACCGAGCAAAGCGTTGGTTCGGCATGACAAAACAACCAAGTGCCCTGACCCTAAAACATCTTACAAGATATTAAGGGTCCACAAAATTAACATCGGCCCAGCTACGCTAACCGACCAGTATGCCACCCGAGGAATGACTATGACTAGTCAAATGGCGTTCAAACGGAATGCTCGGGGGCTACATGCACATGACGATACTCATCACAAAACCAAAGGATGGTCCTCAGATGACCTACCCTACTCGAATGGTAATACGCCCTATGGGCCCATGTTGATTATGGTGTGGCTTCAACTCTCGGTTGCGTCACGCTGACCCACCCGAGTGTTCGGGGGCTACTACCGCACATAATCACCATGTACAGAGGACTCAACTTGCAGGGTTCGAGCTTTATTACACCTTATTTTTACAAAGAGGTACATAATCTATTTCTAAAGGGGACATCCTTGATGATCCGCTCCATGTCAACGATGACGGTAATCGCCTCAGCGTTACCACTGAACTCGGCAATCAACCGCCCGACGTCAATGTCGTCGGTAATCTCCTTTGCCACCGGGAACCTAGGCGTCACCCCTTGCAGATCCACCCTATGATAGAGCCGAATATGAGCTGCGGTCAAAGCTCCCGCGGCCCCATGGTGAACGCCATGAGCCACCACCTCCCTAATCTGTGTCGGGAGGCAGCGAAGCCAATCATGAATGCTTGTCCCCACCGACAACACCATCATGATAGTGGCAACAGCCGCATCATGAAGCACCCGTAGCACTCATCGTTGGACTGCGCCAGAGCAGCGAAGGAACGCGCCCAGTGACTGCATCATTCCGTCCATGGGTAGTCTCCGCCAACTGCCTAGCTAGATCCTCGCTGGCCCACCGCCCTACCACCTTGGCCTACACGATGGCCAGTCGCTCCTTAACGTCTATAAAGAAAGGGGTGGAATCAGAGTTGCCCCCATCAAGATGCAGATCGGACAGATCTCGAAGAAATGAGACCCGACTCACCAGCAAGCTCTACCTGGGTTGCCACCACCGTGGCCTTGGCCTCATCGGCCTCTCCGTTTGTAGCATCAAGCGCCACCCTAGTGACTGAGATATACTCCCTCAGCCATCTCTTCTCGTGAGTGACATCACGAAGGGCCTCACGTGTCACATCAGCCTCCTATACTACGGCAAGCACACCTACCTCGTCACCGCCTCGCCTCGACGGGAGTTGCAACAACGATGGAGCATCCTCATCAAGGGGAGGCCTTGGAGCAGGATAGGCCGTCGAGATCGCCCTGCAACAAATGACTCGCTCAGATCGCCTCCTTTCCCAACAAGTTCAAGGGGCAGAACCGCACTTGCCCGAGTTGCACCAGCGCCTCACGAAGAAGAATGGAGCCTGGAACACGCGCTTCTTCCTAGTGGTCTTCTCCTCCTCCGTTTCTACCCTCGCACGTTTGTCGCCGGCATTGGATGACGAACTGAAAGGCTCAGGGGAAACTACGTCAAACTACGAAAGGTAGAAATACAGAAGCTATAGCTTACTAATCCCCGCCTTTTCCTCTGTTTTTATAGGTAGGGGACACGCACGGCTAATGGAATTCCAACAATCTCTGCAAGCAGAGGCACCCGTTAAGGCTAGGCCACGTCCCCACGATCTCCATCCACAATGCCCGACAAGCTCTGGGGACGCCTTCAAGAAAAACCATCACCGGGGGAAATGAGCCACACTCGATATCAGAACTCGGCCCGACTCACCCTATTCGCGAAGGTGTAGCGATAGTGACTCATTCACTATCGACCCTACCCTGAAGAACGAGTCCATCGCAAGAAGGAATCCATCCACGCAACCACGAGAACCGTGGGGTCCAATGGCCCAAAACTCGTCGTACCATCACCCGAGTCGGTGTAGGTGAGTGGTCTAACACTCAGATCGAGAACTCGGCCCGACTCACCCTCGCAGCAGGTGTAAGCGATAGTGACTCATTCACTATCGACCCTACCCCTACTAGAGTCAGGGGGTATTCGGGAGGGTTGCTAGTCTGACCCTAAAACCTCTAACACTCGGTGTCACGTAAATCTCACAATGCCCGGACAAGCTCAAAGTACCTTATTTCAGCGGATGTGTGCCCCTTTGTGGGAAACAATTGAAAAGATGATCAAACTTGGTTGGCCCATGGGTCATTTAAACTCTCATTTGAGCAAGTTTGACCAAGTCAAATTTGGTCAAATGAAAAAACTCACTTTGAATCTAGAAAAAAAAGTTTTTATCACGTTTGTTCAACTCATCAAGATCTACAATTTTGTCCTTTGGACGGTTCAAATTTGTGATTTTTAAATTTCCCCAAACTATTCAATAGGTCGCGGACGTTCACTCGCTCATTCTACCGTCCTTATATAGGCTATTTTTCATTTGAGAAAGTTTGGACAAAATGTAGTTCAAATTTCACAAGTGTGTGACATAGTTTCGTAAAAGTCTATATGAGATTCAAGAATTTGTGACTAGTGTTTGATAAACTTTCTCAAATGGGAAAATGAGCTCACCCACATATCTTGCTGAATTCCTAGCTATTCAGAGTTTTTTCATCTGAGTCATTTATATTGGCCTCGTCAAATGAAAAACAACACTTTGACTCTAGTATTATGAACTCTAAATGACTCCAAGGCAATGACCTCGCTCTTTCCACTAGTGAGGCCCATGAAAATTCGAGATCTGTTACTAAATAAATGGCCAATTGAAAAGTTTGATGAAATGATCAAGATCTACTTTCAAATTGAGATAGTTTGATTCTTGTGATTTTAAATTTCAACATATACAAACTTATGTCTCAAAGAAAAACGTGTTGCCCTTAGTGCTATTAACCAAACGACCAGAATTGGGAGATGATCCAAAATCAATCTGGCATAGTGTCTCACGCAAGTTTGACCAAGTCAAATCAAATGAAAAACATCCATAGTATTATGAACTCAAACCCGTCCTCATTATTGTTCTACTACTATGACTTAATGATGCGCAACCATTGATTACATGCAGGAATACCTCGGAACTGACTTCCTGAGTACCGCTGTGCTACCACCCAACCACGGCGCCTGCGGGTGTCCTGGAAGCCACGCTTCCAGTTATCGAGTGCCACCACCCGAACGTGACGTTGACAACATCCCGAGGGCTACGCCCAGGAAACTATGTTTCCCGATGTAAGGTGTACCACCCGAGCCAGGCGCTTACAGCTACCAGCGAACTACGTTCCTTGATGTACGGCGTACGGCCGCCCACTCGATGCTTGAAGAAGATTCTCGCTACCCGAGAAATGCTCTTGGCACTTGAACAATGACATATTGGCTCCCCAAACGCTTGGGTATATCTAGTTGCACTTCTTGAAACTTCGACACTCGAAGATGCTCACCGGTACTTACAGTATGCAGAACTTGCAGGGGGGATTGAGACGTCCTGAGGACTAAGGCTACGCACTAGCTTATCATTAAGTCCTACGGGGGCTACTATCAGATATATGGGCCAGAGGTACCTGCACCACCCGTATATGTGACCACCGCTAGGCTATCGTCCCAACAGCCACCAAGGAGGAGGCCCACGAGGGCTGACACGATCGACCAACGTGGAGATCAAGGCAGACCAAGGTAGGCGTATCTAGACGGTAGCTAGGATCAATCTGTTGCGCATATTGTGTAACAAACTAGGAACTCAATCTGTTAGCCCGATGGCCCTCTCTATAGCCCAACCTCTCCTGCCTATATAAAAGGAGAGTAGGGACCTCGGGCTCAGGATCGACACCATCCGCCATTCCAATCTACCTCGTAGCTAGGAGCAACATCCCCTGTAATTGAGTATACGAATACAAGAGTAGCAGCACCACTAGAGTAGGGTTTAGCGCGCTACCTCGCCCCGAACCAGTATAAATATTTGTGTCTCGTGTACTACCATCTGGATCCGTCTATGCGGTCACGTTGCTAAGCATTGCCGGAGCTAAATAATCCGACAGGGTACTTGACTGTTGTGTATCTTAAAACTTTGAATCTCTATCCATTTTAATTGGAAGACAAAGCTCTTGCTACTTGCATTGCTTTTTAAAAATAAGGTTATAAGGAGGGAAGGAGATCAAGATCTTGATATACATGCAACCATAATAAAATTCAGTGCACTTTACCTCGAGATTATCTTTGTTCCATGTACCCCTCTTTTCAAATACCGGTGAAGATTTTGATCTTGAGGGGAGTCTTAACCCCAAGAGTACTTGCAGCAAAAGGTAGTGGTTTATATTATCACTTCATCTTGATATATAAAGTTTGTTCACATGTTACTTCCACTCAAAATTGTCATTTTTGTGAGTAAATGTCTAAATCAATCCTTTTTGATGGAGCTCCTAGAGCAACTCTTGTAAATCAATAGAAGTGATTATCTAAAACAAAATGTGAGTAAAAAGATTAGCTTCTCTTCACGCATAGAATCACTTCTATTGATTGATCCTAGGGAATCACTTTCAGTCATATAACCACTCATCCCAAAGAATCATTTCACCTAGAAAATCAAAAACAAGCCCTATCTTTGACTAACTTTGACACCATCGGGTACCATACCATAGGACTATTTTATCTTCTATAACCCCTATATGTCTTGTGTCTGATAGTTCATATATAGTTATTAACTAACACTCATTTAGTTCTTCCATACGACAATCATTTGTCTTCCCCGGGAGTTCTTTGTTGAGTGTTAGGGTTTCGAGTTTTGACTATATGATATTGGCTAGAGCAACTTCAGAAGACTACCAAAAGCTCTACCAATACCAAATGATTATCATTATGAGAGTTTAAGGGCTCTAGTAGATTAGGAAAAGTTGTATCGATTTCTAATTTGTTTGTTATCTATCGAAAGTTTACCCTTCATTTATATGATGATGATTTTACGTCAAAAGTTGATCCAACAGAAAGAAGAGAGAGAGGGCCAGAGGGTGGTGATGGTGGCCATGGACCGCCTTAGCATTTTGGCTAACAGTATATTGTTGGTATGTAGACACATAAGTTATTTCAACTGTGTAGCTCAAACTTCATTGCTCATTTTAAGATGTAATTTGGGATGTACTTTGTCGAGTCTTAATATAATCCCTCTTCTCTTCGCAAAAAAAGTGACTTTAGCAGTCTCTAGTGTCTCTGATGGGAAAAGGCATAAAAAAAGAAATTACATCTTTAAAAATTACGAAATGGAAAACATTATGCGACTTTAGCACGCGCACTCCATTTCGGAAAGCAAAATGTCTACATCAAATGCCCCCAGTCGCTCATAGAGTAAATAGGGAACACTCCCTCTTCATATCTATCGACTGGAGCACCTTAACAACTTCACCCAGGACAGACACAGGTTCGTGGGCGCCCTTTATACCTACCAGCTCAGCCAGCGCCTCAATCTTTCTCGCAAAGGTCTCTTGACAGAGAAACGCATCGAAGCTATCCGCTTCGTCCTCGGACTCCTCTGCCACCTGAACACCAGACGTGAATGCGTCCGACACGGTGTCTGGATCACTGGTTTCCGCAGGAACACTCCGGGCCATCACCGTGTCTCTGGTTGCGAGGCCGGCGCGAGACAGCCGTGTCCGGTGAAGCGCCTCCAAGCCCATGGCCTGGGTGCCAAGCGGAACGCCGGTGTGTTCGGCTGCCGGGGGTGGACTGAAGCATCGGAGGCCCGCGCCGGAGAGGTCGAAGACGATGTACTGCGGCGGCGGCTGCACCACGGCGGGTTCCATTTCTGCTGCTCTGTTCGCCTATACAGAGGACGTAGAAGGCAGCCGGTTTGTCAGCTTATTTTGTTCTACTAGCTTCTACTGTTCTACAAGGAAAAGAAATAAAAAGAATACAGGGTGAGTGTAGTGTAAGATCATCGGCTAAGAAGGGGAAATCGTGATGGGGGGAAAGGATAAGTGGTTACCTGCCTATCAGCGTTTAGATAGGACCTTGGATTTGTGTGGGTGCAGTGCAGAGGATCACAGGTGCAGTGCTCTGGTGTGTGTAATGCGAATTCTTGGCCCCTTATAAATAGAGCTAGTGCTAGTGCTAGTCTCAAGCGCGTGATGATTTGACTTGCAGATAAACAAGCATTTGCCATGCATGTTCGATCGGCGTGGCAACTTGATGAAACACTGAGGTTAAGGTCCGCTAAAGCGCTTTTGGACGAACCGGCCGGTAAAAGTTGTGTCAGGATGCTATGCTACTGCCCGTAGCTTCCGGCAAACATGCTCCCCGTCGTGAGGCTTTCTGCTTGATCTGGACTCCCAGGATTGCCAATACTAGGCCCTACCACAAATGCCCAGACAAGCACTCTTGAAAGGGTGTTGCGGCACTCTTTCGCAGCAAAAGCGTTCGGCGCTGTGTTTGGTATAATCGGTTCCGTTTTCGCTTAACCTGCAAGGCGAACTGACACGTCACACGTGCATATCAAGTTACATGAACTGATCATCTCTCTTATTTTTCTTTTTTTTTCTGATTGATGATCCTTTGTTCATGAAGAGGAGCTCATGTACTACTACTACTGCTGTGTGCTGTCTTTGGCTAACAAATACTAGCATCGTCTCTGTAAACTCTCCGCTAAGCTGACAGGCGGAAAGATCATGCTGTAATGGTTGAGTTCACCATTTCTCTCTTGGCAAAGTTCCAATGTGGTTAAAGTTAAGCTTCCTTGATCTCGGCGGATGGTAATCTGGCACAAGCCATCTGTGCAATGATGACGATTAGTGGAAGGCGTGCGTGGGGCCGATCGGCGAAAAGTACAGCGGCTCGTGTTTACCAAAGCCTGGCCTGCACGTCGGCCGCGAGACCCGGAATTCGGGGTCGCGCGTGCACACGACCGCGGCGTAGTGCGCGCGTGCGCGCCCGTGGCGGGGTTGGGGGAGCTAGGAGCTCCCGTAGCCCCGTCACCTGTGGCCGCGTCGCCTCTGCCGGGCCGGCAGGAGAAAGCGTGACACACTGTGTACTGCCGTCGCAGGGTTTGCAAGTTGTGTATGCTGGTGCGGTAATTCTCCCTGTCTCCGTTCCATCCAGATGGACCCGCCCACGGAACGACTGGGACCGACTCGGCGTTGCGGCTGCGGTAATTCTCACTCCACCTCCCTCATCCTCATCCACTCCCGCTCCGCACGCCCACTCTGCCACTCGCTCCCTCATCCCCACCCCCGGTGCGGCGCCCTCCCCCACACCCCGGCGAGGGGCGCAGTGCCCTTCCACCCCCGGCGCGGCGCCCACCCCCACCCACGTCGAAGCGCGCGATGCCCTTCCCCACCCCCGGCGTTGTGCCCCCCCCCCCCACAGGCGAGGCGAGGCACGGCGTGGTGGTGGAAAGCTCGGTATCCTCCCCCCACACCCCGGCGCCCCCCCCGCCTCCCCCCACCACGGCGTCCTCCCCCACTGGGATCCCTCAACCCGGCGCGGCGCTCTCCCCTACCCCGGCGCGGCATCCTCCCCACCCCCGGTGGCACACTCTCTCACCCCCGGCGACCGAGCTCCTCCCACCCGACGGCCATGGCGCTCCCTGCGCTAGGATCTCTCTCCCCACCCTATGTTGCAATTGTATGTTTCAATTGTTTCAGAAGGCTCAGAGGTATGTTGCAGTTGAATCATATGGATGTTGCAAAAGTAGATCGGGGGATGTTGCACATGTTGCAATTGTTTTCAGGGGCATGTTGCAATAGCATGTTTTGAGTGTTTTAGATGTTTCAAAGGAATGTTTCATCTGTGTTTTTCGAACGCATGTTGCAATTGTGTTTATGTGGATGTTGCATATGTTGCTTGTGTTTTATTCGGATGTTGCGTATTGTTGCAATGGTTTTCAAGTGTGTTTCATGTGTGTTTTTCAAGTATTTCATAAGCATGTTTCAAGTGTTTTATGTTGCAATTGTTGCATCTCGATGTTTTAAAAGTAGATCGGAGGTGTTTGCACATGTTGCAATGGTGCCGGTGGCTAGTGGATAGCTGCTTGTCGCAGGGCTTCAACTCCTAGCTTGCGCGATGCACCTCGCACTCTCCTCTCCCTCCCCTCCCTTCCCTTCCCTTCTCTCCATCTCGCCGCAACAGTTCGAGCTCATCCTCGACGTGGAGTTCAGCGGCGTTGCAGCGAGATGGGACACGGGGTGGGGGCATGGTACGATACGGGCGGTGGTGCTACATCCGTACGCGGGGTGCTGGCGTGGGATGGACGCTGGTGGGGCGCGCTGGTGCGGGATGGACGCGGGGAGAAGCTCATCTCCGTATTTGCGGGCGGGGCGAAGCTCATCTTCATATTTGCGGGCGGGGTGCAGCAGCCTACCCGGGCGTCTGGACACGCGCTGTCCGTCGGACGTCTAGGCGCTAGATACTCCGATGCTTGTGTATTACTACAGTAGAATATACTACTACACTGCCTATACCAGCATGTGCCATCGCACATCGGATCTAGGATACAAAACAACCGCTAAGGACATGTTTGGTTGGCTGGTTTTGGCCTAAATCTCCTACAACTAAAAAGAATAAAGTATGGATATTTTTTTGTGCGACATTTGTTTTGGTTCGTCTATCTGCCCACGCCTGTGATCCCACGACATCTCCCGCATGCTGTGTCCTTTGGTGCGAAGAAAACACAGAAAGTCTTGACCCTGATTTGCATGCGCTACAAATACGGAAAGTCTTGACCCTGATTTGCATGCGCTATAAACACGGAAAGTCTTGACCCTAATTGCCTCAAACAAGGAAAGCGATCACTCACGTCTCACGCTTGATCATACCGCCCTCGTGCCACAAATATGAAATTCTTGACCCTGATTTGCATGCGCTACAAACACGGAAGACCATCGTCGCTCGTCGCTGCACGATCGAACGCGTCTTCTTGGTAGGACTCAAGCGCGTCACTGGTCGTTGTACGGAGACGATCGTTGCGCGCCCCATTCCTCAAGCCCCTGCACGATCGAGCCGCCCCTACTTCTTCCTCGTCGTGTAGTGGAGAAGCAACAGCAATGGCTCATCCACCGTCTGCCTACCAGTGGATGCACCTGTGGCTACATCATCGATCGCCGTAAGGTCGCCGCAAGATCACCTCCCCGTGCGATCTCCCTTCCCCGTGCGATCTCCCCTCCATGACCTGCTCCATCGTCTGGTCTGTGCGCCCACGCCGTCATCCTCCCCGTGCACCACGTACACTGCCGCCTCCACGACGTTGCGCCGTCGTCCTCGCTGTTTGCCCGCATCGCACCTGGAAACACCGCTGCCTCCACGACGTCCACGCCATAGTCCTCGCCGTTCACCCGCGCCATGCACCTGAGCCGTCGTCCTTGGCTACTGCGTCGCTACCTCGACGCCACCTGAGTTGTGCACCCGAGCCGTCGTCTTCGCATATGTAGACCGATTGACGTCGCCCGTCCTCCATCGCTCGCCGTTCATGATGTTACACAACCATAGTTCATGATGTTGCAGACGTTCTTGTTATATAGTTAATCATCTATTTTTTGATATTGTGTGCCTGCACATTGGATGTCATTGTTTTTTAGCATAGTTAGCCCTTTGTCTGTACCAATCTCGTTTCAAGTAGCTCGAGCCTTATTTATTTATTGATAGTCTCAATTCATGAGTTTGGTGTACCAATGTTAGATACTTTACTGGTAAAATATATTAGATACTTTTCTCTTGTCAACTTTTTTTACGGCCACTGAATTTTTGGCTTGCTAATTTTTTATTATACTGGATGGTATTCAGATGTTTGGCATCAGGCCTTTGCACATCTAGACCTCGCTTGCTGAATTGGTGTTCCCGTAACAGCAACACCAAGCCAGATCACAAAGTTATCTCTGCACTGCAAAATGTCTGTGGATTGATCTTTGTTTATTTTTGAACAATCTAATATAGGCAGGCAAGAAAAAGAATGATGATTTCTCATTGATGTTAAACCTTGAAAAAGAGGAATTTCTCACTGAACTTGTCCTGAATTGTTGCAATTTATTGCCATGGCTTACATTTGTAAACTCTAGAGGATAAGTCAAAATTTTGTAGTTTAATTAGAATATTTAGGTGATTGTATATATATAATATTCAATACAAGAATAATCTATGCATGATCTTCCTGAAAGATTTTTGCGGTGTAAAGACATCTTCGTTTTTCATGCATGTCTGTGCTAACGCTACGGTAAAAACAAAACTCATGCTCAAAGTCAAAGAGATAAATTATGGATGCTTGAATTTTGTCATCCATTATCTACCGGCGTGCCTATAAAATAGACTGAATAAACAATTAAACATAGATAGAAAACTAAATTAATAAAAGGATCAACGTAAGACATCAATTATCTCATAGCTTCGGACAATATCGTAAAGCTACTAAAAACTGTAACCGTGCCCTCACCTCAAACATTGTCCAGATAAATGGATTACAATGAGAGAAATTGATATCGGAGATTTCTTCCTGTCAATATAAAACATTATCTTAGCCGCATCACGGAAATGTCTATAAAGTAGAGTTTGTGAGCCTGCGACGCCGCGCACTCCGTGACTATGTTAAATTCATAAACTTTGCTTTTTGGATTAAATGTTACTTTAATGTTGGTATTTAATTTTTACAGTATTGTTATCTTATCGTGCGATCCGTGTGTTTTTTTATAAATTGTTAGTTATCCCGTAGCAACGCACGGGCACGCTATCTAGTACTATTGTAAAATACAGACTTGTAAAATTATATGACAGAATTAGGAAATACTGTTTGGATGGTTGGTTCAACTACTAAAATTACGGG